TTCGTCCATATCCGAAGTTATTCCTCACATAAAAACGTTGCTACTCTACTTAGAAAACTATGTGGACGATGATAAAGAAATAATGAGAATGAAGACATAATTAAAAGAAGGTCTAAAAACAAGATTTCATTTAGAAGAAAACAAACTATTTACCTTGGCAACTTTGGTAGATCCGAGATACAAACTTCAATTTTTTGACTCAGAGAATGTAAATAGTGTGCGTTCACAGTTCTCTCAAATATAGCGCCGAAACAGAATGCAAAAGAGAAAGAGACAGTCCTCGAAATGGAAATCCAGATGTGCCAGAAGAAAGCCAGCGAGAATCTATCGTCCATCGCAATTTTTGGGACTGTTATGAAAAAATAGTATCCAAGCAAATAAAACATAGCGATAGAAAATCTTCTGCTACACATGAATTGGAATCCTACTGTGCGCTACCCCACAAATTCCACGAACCGCAAAAATATATCTGTGTTGCCCTGCAAGCACTGTATATAGTGAAAGATTGTTTTCCGAAGCTGGAAACATATACGAAACAAAAAGAAATCGTTTACTACCGGATAGAGCAGAAAGTTTGACCTTCCTACATCATAATTTACCGTTGGTTAACAATTAAAAATTTGTTTAATTTTAATAAGAAGAATAATTAAAGTTCCTTTGTTTACCAAACAATGTGTTTAAGTTTGTTTATATGATTTTACATTTAATTTGTTTTAGTAACTCAGTAGGAAAATAAAGAATCACACAATTAATTGTTTTATATAATATTTTAATTTTATTAAAAAAAGGCCGACCAATCGGCTGTTTTGCCGACTAGTCGCCGACTGTCAGCCGACGACGAAAAACGGCCGAACAGTCGGCTTATCCGACCGCTCGGCCACTAGTCGGTACATCCCTAATAATAATCTTCCACCAGTTTCCTTATCAATGTATGGACGTTGTTGTACCGCTTTCATCTTCAGCACCAAGGTTTCTGTGGAAAGGAGTTATGCTACGTAAGTTGAGTCATCCAAAATGACTGTTCCTGGAAAAAACATCCATCCTTGTTCAAACCTTCTATAAATTGCGGTATTTTGCAAGACCCTCGAATCGTGGACGCTTCCAAGCCAATTTGCGTTAGTTAATTGCATAAAAATAATTATTTGGGCCGCATATCATCATGACATTTAATGAATCATGGCCATGACGATGAACGTAGATTTCTCCATGATTAGAAGGACTATCGATGTTTATTCAACACATCGACAGACAAATGGGAATCCACCTTTGCGCAAAAATTCCATAGTAATGTCTTGTATATTTTCTAGCTATCCAACTTCTTCTTGAAACATCGTATCAATAATAATGCTATTCCATGCATTTATGCCCCATTCCCTAGCCAATGCAGTGTTAACATTTGCAGGGGCTAACCTAACTCCGGTCGGGCGTTTCGTCGCTATTCAAAATTGCACCACGCACGTAACCAATGGCAGTAGTTTCTACAATGAGAAATATTGGCATTAATTGCCAGTGTTTCGAATGTATCTACATACCTGCAACTGGTATATTTCGTCAAATGTCTGGTTGTTTTTTTTTAAATATGTAGACATGCATTTTGTTTATGGGGAGTGTGGTGGCAATGCTAGAGCTGCAGTATGATGGTATGCTGCACGTTTTCCTGGGCGTCAACAACCGTATCGCGAAACCTTTTCTGCTATGGATAGAAGGTTGCGGGAGACAGGATCAGTTTTACCCAAAAATCACAAGATCGGACGAGGTCGAGATCCAGATATAGTTAATGTTGAAGAGCAAATTATCAATCGTGTTAAAGAAGACCCGTCAGCTAGTATGCATGAAATTGCTCGAGAAATAGAGGTTAGTCACTGGACTGTATGGAGAACGCTACAAGAATATCTTCTGTGCCCGTACCACCTCTAGCGAGTGCACAATTTACGTCAAAACGATTTCATTGGTAGACAAAACTGTTGCCGATGGATGGTGAATAGCAATACTGAAACTCCCAGATTTCTTTCTTCCACATTGATGACAGACGAATGCTGTTTTACCAGAGATAGAATACTTAATTTTATAATATTCACCGCTGGGCAGATGCGAATCCTCACGCGATTTACGAGACGCATTTTCAACAACGTTTTTCAGTAAACATTTGGGCCGGAATAATAGGTAATCAAATAATAAGACCGTATGTTCGACCGGAAAAACCAAACAGAGAGAATTATTTTCATTTTTGGGAAAGCCATTTGCCAATATTATTAGAGGATGTACCTTTGGATATTCGACAAAGTCCTTTTGGTGATCGTATTACAATTAATAGAGTTGTCCATCGGAACGCATAGGAAGATTCTTATCTATCAGTATGCCATGGATACCTCACAATAAGTTAATGAAGTTGCTGTGTTAAAAATTAAAGGAAGTAGCTTACGAATTACGAAATCGCGTAACACCTCTAGACAACAATAAGTTGCCACAAAATCTGACCGTGGACGACGTCATTCGTGGAGAATACAACATTTCGAAAGAATTATTTGACTTCGTCTGCAACTTAGTTCACGGACTAGACATACGCCGTAAAAATTCAAGTGACGATTGAGTGAAAATAAAGTCTGGGTGCAGTGACCTTATTTGTTTAGAATCAAATTTAATATTGTGGAAAATGGCAACCTTCTGATTATATCTCTTAAGGGTGGCGTCTGGTTCGGTTTCGTCCAATACTAAATACATTGAAAACATCGTCGTAGTTTCCGGAATTGCATTTTTAAAATACTGAAATCTCCAACCAAGTCAGAATCTAAGTAAATCTGCATTCTGCTACCGCATCACAGCTTGTTTAATGCCGATTTCTCGTTTCAGTAGATTTTGACTTTTCGCGAATTATTTACCTCAGTCGTGGATTTTTTAATATTATAAATGGTATCAAAAGAAAGCTGACACTTTTCCCCAGGGGACCTCCTATCTCAGAATGCAAAAAACTTCAGCACTTCGTCAAAAAATGCATCAATGTGTCGGTTAAAATGTGATGTAAAAGTTGTTCAACTTTATAATTTTTTTTTTGTAAAAACTGCATACTAGATATGAATATAAATATGGAGGTCCCCTGAACTGAAGTTTGTTAATTCGAAATATAATTTTTTTAAAGCGATATATCTCATATTTTTAAAATGCAACTCCGGAAACCGGGACCATGTTTTCAATGTATTTAGTATAGGGCTAAACCGAACCAGACGCCAGACGAATCACAAACGCTGTAACCGCGGACGTCGAAGCTGTCAACCTTCGGGAATTATAACATAAGTATGCTCGTCTTCGCTTCCGAGTATACATGATTATTTTTTAGTACCTTATCAAAATCAGAAATGCACCGTTCATAGAATATTGTCGCGAATGGATACACAAATCAGGCCTTGGTTTTTACATTGTAAATCTTAAATAAAACTATCTTTGATGGACTTTATTATTTATTTATATTATTTTAGGCTAAGGTAAAACCACAATTAGCAACTGCCCACAAGAAAATCGGTTAATATGGTCAAAATAAAAATTGGAGAAAAATACTATCTAACGCTGAGTCCAAATTTGATGTCTAGGTGAGATAATAGTCGCAAAAGATTTATTAAAAGCAAAAAGGAATTTGAATATGGATTATCTCAAACAAACAGTCAAGTTTGCAAGCGGAAAAATGGTTTGGGGGTGCATGTCTATTAACGGAATTTAAAGACCAGTTAACACCGTTCATTGAAGGAAAATTACAAATGCAAACAAATGTCAAGAGTCTTTGTAAAAAAATATTAACAACTATTGAAGCCATCTATCCTGTTGGTATTTATATTTTTCAACAGGATGATGCTTAAAGTTACACACCTACAACACTTATTACCAAGAATAGTACTATAAATGTACTGCCCTGACCATTGAATAGCCCAGATCCTAATCTAGTAGAGACGCTATGGCGTGAAATAAAAAATATTTAGGAAATCATCCGTGACAAGCGATTGTCAATCTTCAACAAGAAATTTGGCGAGTGTGGGATACGATAATAACTCCTGTGTATTGCAGAAAATTAGTTGAAAGTATGATGGCAAGAATTCATGCAGTTATTAAGGCAAAAGGAGATGTGACCAGTTACTGAATTTGCTTTGTCCCAATATTTATGTGCCGCAAAATGTTACGTTGTTTTAGAGTTTTATGTCACTGTTTGAGTTAGAAATCAGTATTTATTGTGCTGTAAACATTAACAGCTTTGAAAAACGAATTAATTTTAAAATTGTAATTATATAAAATAAATTACATTTTTGTTAAAAAGTTTAACGATTTTTTATAAAAAATTATTGTCGTCCCAATATTTAGTTGTTAGGGCTCGTACATCACAGCGTGATGACCGATTATTTTTTTTAATATCTCTGCGAAATCGGCGATTAAATGGTGTTAAAATCCAGCAACAACTTCGAGACTTGCGAGAGGTGAATATTAGTCAATGGACAGTGAGAAGAAGATTACGGGAGAGGAATATGACACCCCGCCCACCAGCAACTGGTCCAAAATTGACCGTAACCAATCGCCAAATTCGGCTTCGTTTTGAAACTGAGCACCTAGACTGGAATTTGAATCAATGGAGCTCCATTATGTTTTCATAAGAAACCCGTACAGTCAAAGTCGTTTATAGCGACTCCGCTTGTAGCGACAAGCCGGATATAACGACGGAATTGATCCAGCTTGTTTGGAAACCCATATACAGTAGGGTAAAAAAAGTCGGAGATAACAACTTCGCTTGTAACGACGAATCCGGCAATAGCGACCAAAACTTACTGGACAATACTTTTTTTCCTCCGGTTATAGCGACAATTGCACAACTTTGTTCAAGATACGAACCAGAAAGAAGGGGAAATTAAAACTGCATTGTTTGCATTTTTATGCACGTGTGTTCGAGCCTCGAGTAGACTCAACATTTTCAGCAATATAAAGTGGTCTGACTGATTAGAGTTGTGTCTACTTTAAGTTGTGCAATGTCTTCAACGTCGAAATTAAAGAGGAGAATTATTTCTATTGAAGAAAAAGGAGCCATAGTGGCAAGATTGGAGAATGGTGAAAGTAATGCCAAATCAGCTGAAGAATTCGGCGTTGCACATTCGATCATATCAACAATTTGGAAAAATAAAGACAAGATAATTCTTGGATTTAATAAGAACACATTAAAATCGAAGAAACTTCGAAATTCACAACATGATGACTTAGACAAATCTTTATTAGAATGGTTTAAAATCCAAACAAGTAAAAATGTACCCATCACTACACCGATTCTAAGAGAAAAAGCTAATCAATTCGCTGTACTGCTGGGAAAACATGAGTTTCAGTGCACCGAAAGTTGGATAAACCGTTTTCGTTCACGTCATAACATCGTTTTTGGAAAAATATCAGGAGAAGCGGCAAGTGTACCTGCTAGTGTTACTGAATCGTGGTTGCAATCTGTTTTTCAAGAAATAAGGAGAGGTCATGCAGATGACGAAATCTTCAACGCCGATGAGACTGGTTTGTTCTACAAAATGACATACGATAAGTCAATGAGATTTAAAGGAGAAAAATGCACGGTAGGTAAAATGGCGAAAGACAGAATTACTGTACTAGTAGCTGCAAATATGACAGGAAGCGAACAAAGGAAGTTACTTATTATAGGAAAATCAAAAAAACCACGATGTTTTAAAAATGTGAAGAGTTTACCTGTTGTCTATGAACATAATAAGAGGGCATGGATGACTTCCGAGTTATTCACCAAGTTCATCCGCGATTGGGACCAAGAACTAAAAAAACGTTCTAAAAAAATTTTATTATTGGTAGACAATTGTCCGGCGCATCCACACGTGGAAAATTTAAAAGCAATTAAATTGTGTTTTCTACCACCAAACTGCACATCTGTTTTACAACCAATGGACCAGGGCGTTATTAATTCTCTTAAAACCCATTACCGCAGAATGCAGATTTTAGAAACAATTAGGCATTTAGAACTGGAGAAAGAGAGTGCTGTAACGCTCTTGGACGCCATTCTTATGATTTCTGATGCATGGGAAAATGTATCTCCTACAACAATTGCCAATTGTTTTCGGAATGCTGGATTTAGTATACAAAATGAAGAGACAATACAAGTTGAAAGTGATTTTGATGAAGAAGACGACATTCCTTTGGCTCGATTGATTAATAATGTAACTAGTACAACAGTGTCTAACGAAGACTTCCTAGAATTAGTGAATGTCGATCATAATTTAGAAATTTGTGGTGACATAACTGAAGAAGACATTGTAAAAAACTTGTCAGAAGACCTTAGAGAAGATTTGGAAGAAAATGACGATGAAGACGTTGGTGATCAAGTGCCATCATGTGCCGAAGCCCTTCAAGCGGTTTCTATTATAAAAAAATTCGTTACTTTTGAAGGTTTAAAAGATAGTAAACTATTGAGCTGTATTTCTACACTAGACACTAAACTGCCAGGTATTTATTACAAAAATAAATGTACCGGGCAGAGTAAAAAAATTTTTTTTTACGTAAATTAAGTAACATTTCAGTATATATTTGTAGGTTCATATATGTATGTATATGTGACTAATGAAGTATGTACTCATAACTACTACATGATCCTTGGATGTATTTTCCTTTCTGACTTGCGCCTATGTACGTGTATTAAATATTACATTTTGTTTAAATAAAGTTGTAATATTTATAAAATTAGCATTCATCGGTTATAACGACTTCCGGTTATAACGACGAAAATTTCAAGGTCCCTTCGATGTCGTTATAACCGGATTATACTGTATTTAGTTTAATTTAATAGTTGTTAGAATAGTAAATACGTAAGTGGCAGACAGATATATTCAGGAATATGGGGCATTCATTCCAAGAAAATTTTGAGCATTTTTGGTAAACGCAAAAGTAAAAAACGACCACTTTGATAGTTTTCAAGAGTATAGTTTTCGCTCAAAATGGACTCTGGTTTTAGGCATTTTATTTTTTATTTAAAAAATGCATACGTTTTTTTTTGAAAATGCAACATTGTGTCTTAAACATTTTTATGTCACGAGCATGTATATGTATCGCACTGCTCTTAAAATTTTTTTCTGAAAAATTCCAGTTTCACAAATCCGGCCCTGTGCACGGGTGCTGTAAACTACCCACAAACTTAAACACGGAACCGGTTCATAAAATTCATATATTTTTAACACAACTTTATTAAAAAATAAGAACGTTTTGGTGGTGAACCAAAATTCAAAATATTAAAAAAAGGCAACAGAAGCCTGAGAAAATATCATACAGCGCCGATGTTTTTGTTATAAATTAATAGTTTGTTTTTCAATGTCAACTTAAAAATGCATTAAGCTTATTTAGGAAACAAAAAAGTTATGTTAATCTGCAGTATTTCAAATTATTAGGTAAGTTACTTGAAGTATTTTCAGCATTTCAAGTATATTCAAGTACTTGAAGTATTTTCAGTATTTCAAGTATATGCAAGTACTTGAAGTAATGTACTTGGATTATACTTCAACTACATGAGGTAAGTACTTGAGACTTGAAGTACTTTCAGTAAAAGTAAGTACTTGGTACTTTACTTGAACACTATTTCAAGAAGTACTTTGTACTTGGTACTTCAAGTACTTTTGTTGAGTACTTTGAACAGCTCTGGTTCGGACGTTAGCTTTTGGTCACGTGTGTAAAAATATACATGAATCCAACTATACAATATGGCGAGAGCCATCAAACCATGTTGACGATGGACTCTTATGAGAGAAACTCCAGAAAATACTTACAAACGCCAAAAAAATACAAAACAATTTTTATCTTTTTTTTATTTTTAAAGAAATGTTCTTGGAATCTATTCAGTTTTGTTGAAAGTGTTTTGTGTTCTCTTTTAAACTTTTCCTTTAAATTTGTTTTAAAATTTGTGAGTGTTATTTTTTCATTAAACTTAACAGATGTCGGCCCAACACAAAAAACTGGAGGGTGATGGCCAAAAACTGAAAGTAGATTGGTATTTTTAGTAGCCCAAAATGTACAAAAATCACCCTTTGATGTCTTTGTTCCAGACAGAACTTGAAAATTTGCCGACTAGTGTAATAAAGCCGTTAGCATTTGTGGAGGTTTTAAAGTAACATTACATCTACATTTAGTATTAGATAATCACCAGTTGTCTACAACTGATGAGTTATTTGCCACTATGGCGGGGAGAAAGAAATTTACAAAAATTATTTAAAACAGGCTTATTTACAATTAGAAATCAGGAAGATCAGTATTTACTCACAATAAACACTCCAAGAGAACTATTTCAATGTAAGTACAAGATTATTATTCGGAATTGCTAGTGCTCCAGATATTTGGAAAAGAGAAATGAAAAATATTTTAAACGGCATTCTTGAAGTTTCAGTTTTTCTAGATGTTATTATAATTACAGGTCCTAATGATCTGGTGCATTTACAAAGATTAGAAGTATTTGAACGACTTCATCAGTACAATATAAAAATTAAGAGAAATAAACGTGAGTTTGTAAAAAATGGAATCCACAAATGCAATAATAAAATCGATGCGACTGATAAAATGCCTAGGCCTTCGAATAAAAGTAAATTGCGTTTTTTCATTGGAATTGGAAAGAAAACCTAAGTACAATTCTACATCATTTAAAGCAATTACTACGAGATAATGTTAGTTTTATGTTGTCGCGAGAATGTGAGAAAGCATATGTTTTAGCCAAGAAAGAATTTAAATCCTATATTTTAGTACATTACAGTTCTAAATTACCACTTACTGTTGTACTTTCACAAAAACATTCCAATGGTTCGGAAAGAATTATATACTACGCGTCCCAAGCATTAAATGAAACACAAAAAAATATTTGCAAATTAATAAAGAAGCTAACGGTATCATGTTTCAAATATAAAAAAAATCATAAATCCTTGTACGGAAATTAATTCATTATTATAATAGCTTGCATAGATATAGTAGCCGTACATAGAGTCGAAATTTGCAAATAAAAATAAAATAAAACCGATTCAAACGGAGCCGACGGTGGCTAGCAAATTCTGACGTCACTGTGGCACGCGTTGCACAAAGACGTATTTAATAATAAAATGTCGTCTTTTCCGTTATAATATAACCTTTTTAATTTCTGAGCTCAATAAATGCAGATTGCCTTTCAAGACTTATTACACAATTACATGTCCGGCGATGAGTCACTCATCATCACCGCACATACTAGAAAACCCATAGGCGTCCTACCGAGGCGACGTATGGGTTGATTTCGTAACAGTATGAAAAAAAAAATCCTAGATGAACAACCGAAAATAAAGTATTTGCCTTGGTATGCACAAAACAGATCCAAAATGTTAATGCTTTTTAAAACATTTTTTTAAACTTCCGTCGAAAACAACTTTGTAAAAAAAAAATTATAAAAAAATATTAAAAAAAAAAAACAAACTCTTTGAATCTGGCATGAATGATGAGCTATTTGATTAGTTAACAACGAGAATTGAAAAACTTAAGTCAAAAGACAGACTGTACAAGCTCATGTTTGTAAGTATCGTTATCTACTGCACCGTTAACTTTTTCCTCAACGGTTACAGCGTACGGCTCTCAGTTTGTTTTTGGGCGCGGGTCGTAGGTCGACGCAATTTTCTCAATAAACTACAATCGATTTTGTGTCGAGGTGACAAAGAGTCTGGTTAGTGGGCGCCAGGTAGTTAGTAAACTAAAATCAAATCACTAAAACTAACAGCTACCAATTTAGTTCCAAAAACGTAATAAATACATATTTACAAACAATAAAACTATTCCTAATATAAATAAGAAGGTATCTAATGGATTTAAATAAATAATATTGATTTCTAATTATTATCTCAAATCTAGCGTTATCTTGAACACAACTCACATCAGACAGGGACCGCACTTACAAGCAAGCTTACGAGCTTGGTTCAAATTTGTTTATCCTCAAAAATTAAGGACTCATATGTGGCCGGAGGGGCCTGAAGAAATTTTGACGACGCAGTTATTTGATGTTTGTGGCGCGAACACAATATCAGAAAGATCTGACCTTGGTTGTTTCTCCAGAGATGGTGGCAGTTGGTAGGGGGTGCCAGAGTGAGAATTGGAGCAGGGCGATCGAGCAGCGTGCGGGCAAAAAAAAACATAGACTCCAAATGGGTGAGAACTCTCAGAATTGGGAACCTCCAGAAATCAAAGTTCGTGCAAAGCACAAAATGGTGCCGTTAAACTAGCACTCGGACTCGACAAAAGTCTGGATCGGCCTCTACTCCAGTAAATTCAAAAACTGTAAAATTCGTGGTGGATTTAGCGAACCGAAAAAAAATTAAATATTACCTCGTGTGGTGAGGGCTTTGTACGCAATGAAACGTTGGGCTTCTTTCTACCGGAGCCCGAGAACGTTTTGCCGCAGCAACGATCAACTCGATTCTCCCATTGAAAAAGTGCGAAAAAAATCTGTGTCGTCGACGATATAAACGAAACGGATAAAGAAATGATAGCGAGGATTATAATAACGTGTTTATGTTATGATTCTTCGATCAATATACCCCGTTGCGACTAAATTAATGAACTTAAGGACTACAGAACCTGGACGATGTTTAATAACGAATGTTACACTACAAATTTAAAATATTAAAAAATCTACTGATAAAATTGTTGGTTTTAAGGATTTGGGGTGTTTGAGACGAAATAAAAACAGTGCTAATCACGCGTTAGTATTAATGATGCAAGGTATTAATGGTTCCGAATGGAAACAACCAATTAAGTACTACTTTGTTAAGGACCGTTAAATAAAAGTTTAAAATAAAAAATAATAATTGAAGGCATTATTATCAAACTTAATTAATATAACAGACGCAAAAGTTACATGCACCCTTTGTGCTAAGGCTGGTTCGAATGTAAAGGACCTACGATTGCTAAAAGAAGAATCCGATGTAAACAATAAGGGATCATACTTTAAAGTAAATTAAAAAAATATGCTTATCTTATAGTCCGCAATAAAATCCTAAGTATTTGAGAGAAGCTTATCTATCAAATTGACAATAGTCCAAGATGTCAACCTTCGCAGAAAATCCGAATGGTCTATTTATGTGAAAAGATATACACTAATGAAAGAGGAAACTGTCGATTGCATCAAAAATACTTAGTGACAGTATGACCGCGGCTGTTGAAATTCTAATAGAAAATATTCCTTCAGAAGTAATCAAGACAGCTTTCTTTGTGCAAGACGCAAATGATTTATTGGTCAAATTAGATTTGTTACGAGATAAATCTAAAATGTATTATGAAAAGGAGTATCTTCAATTTTGGCAGTGGCGAGAACGAGAAAAGGTTCAAGGAGCTTCAGAAAACATTTATTGGCTAGCCAGTAAAATTTTTACAGCCTTGCTCGTGCTCATACAGCCATGTATTTTAAACTATTATAAGTTGAAATGACAGCCAAAGTTGATTCAGGCAAATTTTTACTCACAATTGCTGCTTCCTCAATAATATAGCTTGCGCGACACTCATTTCAATACATCGAAAACGATAAATCGACAAATCTAAATGACAGAACTAGACAACACAATAAGTACTATGATAAGTGCCATGCTGACGTGCGTTTCCAAGGCAATACGTCTAAAGCTCATACGATGTTTCTTCAAATATTGGACCTTCTAGAGTTTTTAGTGCTCATTCACAATGGGCATAAAGCATAAGGATGTCATAAGCATTAATGCATAAAAATTTATGTTTAGTGCTCTATGCTTGTATTCGTTCACAATGAGCATAAGTGCTCATTCACAATGGACATAAAGCACAAGGATGTCTTAAGCAGTGGAGTTTTGTTGAGTGTGTAGTAAATCCATTACTGTTTTTTTTTTTAAGTTCAAGAAGACATAACAACCCATTCATACCTACTAGTGCGAACCTGTTAAGGCACCAAGACGCAAAAAAATCAGACCGACTTCGGAAAGTGCATTCACACCTACAGTGTTTGTACGTAAAATATATATTTTTAAAAACACCTTATCGTCGTTTTAGAAATTACATGAGAATACAAAGCGAGCGATTAAAAACATTACATTGCAATAAGGGAGATTAAAATGAGAGAAAATGGGTCGCTGTTGAAAAAAATTGTAAAAATCTATTGTACTTTCATAAACGTTCGAAGGATATGTATACACGGTGTTATTGAAAGGTACGTACAACAAAATTGACAGTTCTTTGCGAAGTCTAAGAAGCCTGAAAAACTTATTTTGTGTTATCAAAATTATAAGAGGAAAATTAACCCCTATCCAACCTTTTTAGACGCCACTGAAGGATAAATAGGTAAAATTAATTTATTTTACTAAATCCTAGCAACTGTCACAATAATAAAAAAATAACCGACCCTTTTGTTAGTACAGAAAGATGACCTTTTGTCCGAGGCGTACAACGAATTTGGACATAAATTTGAATAATTCTTATCTCTAAAAGAAGAACACATTTACTTGAACTTTTTTTTACTTTTAGCACCCATACTTCGAGACCAATTGTCGATTTTATTTTGTAGGTACCTTTCAATAACACGCTGTATATTTTAAGCAGTGGCGGCTTGTCAGGTGAGGCAGGTGAGGCAGGGCCTCACCATACATAACCATAAAAAATGTTTTTCTTCCATACTATTTTTTTGTACGGGGTAATTTAAAATTAGCGCGACAACTGAATTTTCTATGCCAACCACAAAATCAAGGCGCAGCGTTATTCTAACCAATCATGAATTATCATGCGTTTAAGCCGGCCTCACGGGTTGATTAAAATGTGGGACTAGGAGGCTCGATGTTTTTGCAATGCACAATATTACCGGCATCGTTTACTATGGGAATCAAATGCTTTAGGACAGATGATAGTTTCGAGGCCGGCCGCAGCTCTTATCTGATTGGTTCTCCTTCTCAGCTCAGTCCACATTATAGGTCAACATGCACGTGCGTTTTGCATTTTGCAGTGTGCAAAATTTTAAATTTCAGTCGTTGTCGTTAAAGAGTTCGGTACTTGGTTAACTAGTGGATTGTGGATACTCCGATTAATTTTATTTGTAATTAAATAATAATGAACATGGACGCAGGCCCATCTGGTACTCAGGTAATCTCCACTGTTCGAAATACAAATGACATTGTTAACTATCTCGTGAATAAATGTTCCTTCAATAAGTTAACATACGAAGATAAACTGTTTGTAAAGTAAAGCGAACGTCCATGTCCAGATTTAAGCTTAATTAATTCAAATAGAAAAACAAAAATACAGGACGTTCAGTCTCAATTGGTATACAAAATATGATAGACTTGCTGGGAGTACAACTGTGAATAAACTTTTCTCTTGGCCATGTATTTTATTCTCGAATAGTGGAGAATCGGTTTGGTGGAAAACTTGATATGCAGATTTGGAAAATTTGTCGCGTTCCTTGGAAAAACATTTCAAAAATAAAGATCACATGTCATCTACTTGCAAGTTTGTTCTTCTCGGCCAACAGAATATTGCCAGTCACAAACCACCTACTATATAGACGCCCAACGGGCTTGTTAAAGACTTGTAAAACTTACCAAGACTCCCTCTGGTGCTTGGGAGAACAAGGTCTGTAAAAACCCGCTAAAATTTGAACGTGTTTTCCTTCCAAAATATTTATCACACTTATTTTGTAAACAAACTTTCAAAAGCCTTGTTACTTATTATCATTTTCAATAAGTATGAAGTTGACAATAAATAACATGCTTTTGAAAGTTTGTTTACAGAAACCATAAAAGTTGGATAATGAAATAAAAATGAACTATTTTTATAAAGAGATATATATTTTAAGAACATAATACATATATACGTGACCTAAGTTGCGATGGCTCATGAACAACACTTATTAGTGCCGGTTTATAGAAGGCGAATTAAATATCTAACTCAAATTATGTTAAATTAAAGTTGAATATGTGATGAAGACCTTATTTGTACAATCTAATCGACTGAGATTGACGACGTAGCCTAGGTGAATGCAATTAAATATTTAATTTATCTTTTATAAACCGTTCCTGAAAACAAAATATACAGAGTTTCAAAATTTTCAAATAATGAAAATACAATCGGGAGAAAGTTTAAAGAATTTTCTGTCCCTTGTCTAATCGTTTTTTTCTTTGCAAGTACATCTTTCTGGCTTTACACTTAATGACGTTATCTGTTAATATCGGTCTAGTATCTTTGCCTGTCAATATGCGATTAACACAATTACAGTAATGGTGCAGGGTTGTCCGAATTATTATTTTTATAATTTTCGGAACTATTGCCGACTTATGTTGTGAACAGAAATACGAAAAATCCACATTTTCGACAATATTTATATGATTTTCCTGAATTAGGGTTTTCTTTCCGCCATGTTTGCGCAATGCATCATTGATACAATTAAAAATTTGTTGAAATGTCACTGCAAAATTTACACTCGGGTAACACCTTCTACTATTCGGCTGATACTGCCTTTTAAAAATTAACAAATTAGTACCTGATTCAAGCTGAATCATTTGTTCTCCCAAATTGCTCTGTTCTGAAGCCTGCAGATTCTGATCATTTTCCAAAGTACAAGCTTCTTCATAATTTCTCCTTTTAAGTGTTTCTTTGTTTTTGTCTTTAAAATATACGCTAATTTCATCAAATAATAAATCGCAATTATCATCTTCACAATTATATGATGAACTATAATTTTTAAATGACGAATTAACAACAATTGTTTTAAAAATTGAGGTGAAATTCCCTGCTGTTGGATTGTTTTGTTGCATTCCAAAACTGCGCACTCTCCCAAATAAATTTTCCAGTGGATCCTGGTTGAAGTGTCTGCCTAATAGATAATCAAATCCTTCATGTTTTAAAATGTTCCAAATTCGTATAAAATTTTTCAAAGTAAAAATCCAATTTTTTAGACTCGGAGGCTTTGATTTATCTTTTGATTTATTGACTTCAAATGCCATTGTCTCTAAGAGTGGTATTGCTTCTTGCTGCCAAAACTGGATGTGCCTGCTGGAGTCATTAATTCCACATCTAAACTCCTTCCCATTTGAAGCATATTTTGTACTACCATTGACGGACAACATTTCATGAGGAGTTTCAATCCTTCCTAGAACATAAAAAAAATAATAATAAATTGTTTGATTTCATTGTTTTTAAGTATGTATATATAACAAAATGTAATTATAATGTCCAATGTGTAATTTGTAGGTACTAAATTTAGGTTATGTTTGATAATTATCAAACTCAAACATAACCTAAATTTATTACCCAATTACTCGACAATTTCTAAGCTCTTAGAAGTAGGATTTTAGCTGTGATAACAATTCTCATAACTAATTACCTTTATGGTGTTTTTTAATAGTGACACTTTGACTGTTATCAACTTCCAAACAATTTGTGGAAGTAATAGTGGCATGTAGACTTGTATGATCTTCTGTTTCAAATGGCACGGTACAAGCTGCAATCAACTTAGTATAATATCTTTCGTGACAAAATGTTATTGGTTCTTTGATTTGCTCCAAAAACAATAAAACACTTACATATTTCAGCACTTGGAACTAAACAATTTTCAACAGACGCTCCAGTTAAGTTGAGATTTTCACAGACTTTACAGTCATTATCTTCTAAAACTTATTTATTATTGTTAAGAATTTGTTAATAACAAATGTCAAAAATACTTACTCAAAGTGGTACGACTGGGTAAATGAAGGCTAGGCATTGCATTTAAATGCAACCTTTTACTGCCCACACTGAAATACTGATCCTCAAAATGGCAATGACAAACTTTCTTCACATTGTAAACATTTATAGGATCCATTGATGTTAAGGTGTCATTGTTTATAGCCTCAATCCACTGCTTAAAACTTCCAAAATCCTTTTTGGGATTAGGAAATCGGTGTTGCGGTTGGATATTCTTTTCGCAACCCTTTATGCAACACTTCACGGGAGCCATTTTCAGAATGCCTGCGTTCAAAACAGAAATTACTTAATGAATTGTTTAGGTATAGCCAAGTATATTCCTTACCTTACAAACAGAAATGTAAAAAAAAGTAGTTCTTAAAAGAACTGTTTTTGTAATAACAATAATAACGAACGGAGAAATAACAAAACGGAGAATTAACAAAACGGAACACTGACGGAAACAGACACGAAATAGTTAAAAGACAGGAATGCGTAAGTGTTCTAGGGAATTTTGGTGCTTGTAGTTTCTACCCCACCACGCTTACAAATCTACTTTGGAGACCTCTGGTGTTTGGGAGATGAAACAAATTTAGTCACGTGACTGGTTCAAAAGCCTCCCATTTACGTTGACCGTCTATAGAGTAGGTAGTTTGTGTTGCCAGTACTCTAGATTCTGCTCGCCAAATTGAAATTGAAAATTTTAATGCCAAAGTTCGCGAAAATAGAGAAATTATTAAAAGGTTAACTGATGTTGCTATATTTTTATGCACACAAGAGCTGACCTTTAGAGGACATGACGAGTCAGAAACGTCTTTCAATTGCGGAAATTTTAAAGAATTAATTTCATTGTTGAATAGGTATGACACTTATTTGGGAAATTTTTTGGAAAAAGATTCTGACAATAAATCCGTGTTTTCCGGTACATCAAAAATGATTCAGAACGAGTTAGTTGAATCAATTTCTTTTGTCATAACAAACCAATTTTTGAAGCTCCTTTTTTTTCCTGGCAGATAGATGAAACGACTGACATAAGTTGTAATTCGCCATTATCAGTTATTTTTCGTTACGTTATCTCCGGTAAAATTGTCGAAAGATTCATGGGGTTTTTCGATGTTAGTTCTGGACAAACTTCTGAAGGTTTATTTCAATTATTGCTACATAATTTCAGTAAATACAACCTACAAGATAAATTAATCCATAAGTATTGTCATTGTTTATATTATTTATAAATTTTTTTTGTTATTTGCCACGGTTTTGAAGCGGTTGTTCGAATTTTTATTAAGTTTTCATTTTACTTATATTACTATTGTTTTACCACATTTTTTATTTACCTTTGTTTTAAACCTTCCACTTGTTATCATTCCTATTTCCTATTCTGCCCTATCCTTCTTTCCTGGCAAGAAAACTCTACACCTCCACGTCGGTTCTTGCCCGACAGTTGATTATGTGGTGCATTTTTCTTAATATTTTTTTATGTTCAAATTTCCTGTGATCCAAAAACGCCGAATTCGTGATACAATAAATTTTCATCTAGTATTATTGACGTATAAAACCGACTTACAATTCCAAATTTCTTAAGTAAGTCGCCAAGTGTGGGAAAAATGGAACTGGAAATTTTTTGAATCATGATTTGTAAAATGTTCAGGTATCATTTTCAACTGACAGAGTAGAGTAATTTACAGATATAAAAAAAAATATATGTATTTAACTATTTTTACGTCATAAGGTGTGGCCTCACCAAAATTTTAGGTCACGAGCCGCCACTGATTTTAAGACAGTCCCGCCCGTACCTCCGTCACGTTCGGTACTTCGTCGAATTGTCAACGTCGCGCCCGTACAGTATAACCAAATCTCTTATGCGGAGTCTGCCTCAGGCGTCTCCACTTCGGCCGTAACAGTGCTCTTTTTGAGGAGGCTGTGGGGGGCAGTAAATTCGAAATGTACAGCTAGGGCGATTTTAGCTAGTTTGACAACGTCACCAGCAGATTGCATCTCGAAGATGAGGCCCTGTGTTGGAATTGTTGATCAACAAGGACTGGGCTAGGGGGTGAAAATCCTCGGGAGAGTGATCCCATTCTTAATTACGTTCTTTAAAGTCCCTTTTGAGTGCAATGATTTTATCCCAACGCACAGTAGAGGCCGGTGGGCCGGTGTCCAACCATAGGACGTCTAGGAACCGCTAGGCCGTAAAATAAATAATATTGCAAGTTACAAAATACAATTCACAAGTTACAAAGTATTAGGACTAGTAACTCGTATTGCACAATCTAAAAATTATTACCTGTAAATTGAGCGACAAGTAGTTAAAAAATATATTAGTAAATGGTGGCTCTAGATTGTGACTGTCGGAGAATTTGTCTAGTAGTTTTCAAGTTCTATCAAAATGGGTAAGTGCGACGAACAGCGAAAATTAAAACTCTGTGTTTTAGCAAGGATTAAAGCCAACAACTCTAAGCATTTTATTCGGAGCATTTGGTTAACATTTAACAAAAAGTGCGAAAAATTAAAGGTGGAAATTAATTCACAATCATGCGCAGTGATTACGAAAGATTGAACTTATGTTCGCGATGTTTGGTGGCCTAATAATTCTAATATCAAAAAGGCAACGAAGGTTAAGGATTTGAGACTTTGAAAGGTACGTTGATTATTGTTTACAAAAAATATACACACAATTTATTGTGGTAATAAGAGAAAGTCCATGATTACAAAAGAACTGGAACTCGAGGCGGCGTTGAAAAAAAAGTTAGCTCATGTCGACAAGAAAGTTCTTATCCTATGTAAATGTGTTTTTTAAGCCAAGGTTATACGAGGATGGTCTGAGAAATTCTCGGCCTCAGTCATAAAAAATGAATCTGTCACCTTGATTTTTTTTCCCAAATAGGCACATGTATTATAAGCTTACATTAAGAATTGCTAAAGATTCTGTCAAAAACTTTTCTTCAAATCCATTTTTGAAAGTTGCGTGTTATGGACATTCCGCAAAATGGAGAAAATTGAGTATCGGGCTGTAATTAGTTTTTTTGTTAAAGATGGGTAACACCGACCGAAATTCATACAAAGTTTTTAAAGGTGTATGGGGACTCTTCACCTTCATTTTGAACCATTAAGAAATGGGCTACCGAATTTAAGCGTAGCTATAGAAGCACTGAAGGTGACCCACGTGAGGGACGATAAAAAACTGCGACAACATCGGAAATCGTTCGAAAAGTACATGATACGGTATTATCTGATCGACGAGTAAAGTTCCTGAAATAGCTGAGGCTACTGGCATCTCGAAAGAACGGGTAGGTCACATTTTGCACCAAGAACTGGATATTAAAAAGCTCTGTGCAAGATGAGTGCCGCGTTTTTTAACGGTGGATCAAAAACGGATTCGCATGCAAATTTCGGAACACTGTTTAGATCGTTTTAAAGCAAATACAGTTGATTTTGTGGGAAGATTTGTAACTATGGATGAAACTTGGGTTCACCATTTTACCCCAGATTCAAAACAACAATCTAAACGTTGGACAGAAGCTGGTTATCCAGTGCCAAAGAAGGCAAAGTCCGTTGCATAGTCCGGAAAGGTTATGGCATTGGTTTTTTGGGACGCTAAAGGAATTTTACTTATTAATTATCTGGAACAAGGTAATACATAACGCGGGAATATTATACTAATCTACTAGATAGATTACGTAAAAAAACTCGAGAAAAAAGGCCCGGTTTACAGAAAAAAAAAACATTTTTCATCAAGACAATCCGCCTGTGCACAAAAATGTTATTGCAATGGGAAAATTGAGAGATTTATAAAGTACGATTTGTCGGAACATGCGCCTTATCCATCAGATTTGGCTCTCTCGGACTTCCATCTATTCCTAGAACTCAAAAAATTCCTAGGTGGACAGCGTTTGGGGTCTAATTTTGAAGCTATCGAAGCTGTAGAGGCTTATTTTGCAGACCTTTCAAAAAACCATTGTAGGGAGGGTATAATCGCATCGGAGCATCGGTAGTCCAAGTGTAGTAGACTCCAGGGAGATTATGTAGAAAATTAAAAATAGTGTCAAATTTATAAATGTGTTCTTTCATTGACAGGCCGCGAATTTCTCAGACCATCCTCGTATGTATACCAGGATAGAAAAAAACACAGAAAATTGGAAAATCCTTTCAAGAATTTGAAGCAGATGTTAAACGGCTGGTACGTCTAACATAGTCCATCGCACCACCGAGTCTTCAAGAAAGATTTGCGGCTGAAACCTTTACCAACAGGATTCACGACGTCGAAGTGAAGTGAAGAAGATTTGACACGTATCCAGGTGGCAGACATCATCTGATATTGTGATTCGTGCGCTGAAAGTGGAGGCTGCGTAAAATTTTTCACAAATGGACCACAAAGTCAAAGTGGTAAAATTAGAGACATAACAAAACGACAAGGTAGAAAAGCTGTTCAAACAATTCTCGGACCAATTCTCACAGCGAATAATAAATGGGCCATCATGGAAAAGTACCTTTGAATGCTATACAGGGTGACTGCGAAATATATGCAAATAATTTAACCACGGCATCCCCCACCCTAGTAAAGCCGAAATATAGAAAAAATAAATTAGAAATCGAATGGGGCAAAACCCCCATGAACCACCCTCGATACGAAGGCACTGAGCCACCTTGTAAACAGAGTTGGAAAAACGTTCGAATAAAAACGACCTAAACACTTTCAATTTCAATTAAAAGTAAAACCGACTTTTTGCTGCTTATCATTCGTTCATTCATTTACTCATTCTCGTTAAAGGTCAGCGTGAAAGTTTTTTGGTAATTTTGATTCTGACGAATGTTTGGTCCTTGTCACAACGATTTTACATTGTTTATTGGAACAGAAATAAGAGCAACTTAGAATGCTACTACCTTTTTACAAGAAATGTTGAAAATGTTGTCCTTGACTAGCAATACAAGCGTCAGAGCGTCGCAAGAGGTTTGTTGATAGGTAAAAAAACACCGGAGTAGCGGCTGCCACTTTCACTGGACACTGTTGATTTCCACAAACGAATTGTTTCATCCAACCAATACACGTTTCTCGAAAACCGTCTCTTGAAATCGTACTTGTTGACGACTATGTGGAGTTCCATCGGACAAAAAGTGAGTTACACAACGTGGACAATCAGCGGGCTCCAAACCGTGCACTTTGTCAACATGGTATGGATGTGACCGTGTTCTTTTAATGTAGGATGCACTACAAGCTGCGAAAATCCAATTTCTTCTTTCTGTCCCATCACGACAACGATCGTGAGTTTGAGGTTGAAGGTACCATGATCTCGGAGATGCTGTACCACTGATGCAAATGTTCGCGCACACAAATTACCATATCGACACACTCTGCATTGGAAAACTGGTCCATACACCGATTTCAACGACCGCTCGATAATGACTGGCCCTTTTCGTATTTTTCACGTTGCGATTAAAAAAGTGCCTGGTAAAGTTACTTTTTTGGTTCTTACTCCGACTCCCCTGCCCATTCATGGCAGTAATTATGTAGGTCACGAAAGATTACCAGCGGCGCGTATAACAATTTACATTTAATTTCAAATAATTTTTTCTAGACACTGCTACCACTTAGGACCGTGAATTTTTGCCAGTGACATAATCATATTGTGAGCTATTCCCCATTTTTTTTTTGCATGTATTTCGCAGTCAGCCTATATATTGGGACAAAGACAGTTACTGAAAAAAATCCGGTACCTATTTTTGATATCATTCAATTCGTTTGGACTAAATGCAAATTTTGCATGTTCATCTATTTCGGCAGAGAGTAAGGTATTTTGTAAATTAATAAATTTTCTTTTAACGCAAAAATTGTCACCTAAATAAAAAATGCCATTTTTGCTGACATTTAAATGTTGGGGCACCCGAGAAAATTTGCTAAGTATACCATGGAAATACAAACATAGTAGCTGGTAAATGCTGCCACTATTATAGGGATCGCAGTATTTCATGCTAGTGTTGCTTTTATTTAGAAAAAAAATAGTTGGGGTGTGCTAGTTTTAGTAAAATTTCTGAAAATAATAATTTCGCAGTACTGCAAGGGAAAATCGATTAGTAAAAGTGCAGATTTGTTCCAAATAGCTTAGTCGTCGATGATAAACGTAAAATATTACGCAAACAGAGGTACCATAGAAATAAAAGGTAAAATTCCCTTTAGACCACCACTTGTGAAGCCGCGTGATCAACGACAACTAATGCAAATTTATAAAAGTGGACGACGGCGACGGAGTACTTCAACACAAATTACTACTCACTGTAATACACCAGAAAAGTCGTGACGTCATCAGTCGTGGTTGCTATAGCAACTGATTCCAAACACAACAAACCAGTACCACTGATTCCACTTTCTTATGGCCATTTAACACAGGTAACCATGGCAACCATTTTTGTTTGGAATCAGTTGGAACGCGCCAACGCCTATGTGACGTCACACTTTTTGCATGCATAGCGATAACCAACTAAATTTTCAAGAGCATATTATCGCGAATGGATACACAAATGAGGGCTTGGTTTTTACATTGTAAATCTTAAATAAAGCTACCTTTGATGGATTCTATTTTTTATTTATATCAGTTTATTGCTAAAGTAAAACCACAATTAGCAATTGCCCACAAGAAAAATCGGTTAATATGGGCATAATATAAATTGGAGAAAAGTAATATCTAACGCTCAGTCCAAATTTGATGTCTGGGTGACATGATAGTCGCAAGAGTCATTAAAAAAAAAGGAGTTTTAATATGGATTATCTCAAACAAACAGTCAAGTTTGCAAACGGAAACAAGGTTTGGGGGTGCATGTGCACTAATGGAATTTAAAGGCCAATTAATCAAGTTCATTCAAGGGAAATTACAAATGCAAATAATTGTCAAGAGACTTTGGAAAAACATATTAACAACTACTGAAGCAGTCTATCCTGTGGGTATTTATATTTTTCAACAGGATGATGCTTCAAGTTACACAACTGCAACACTTATTACAAAAAATAATAATATAAATGTACTGTCCTAACCATCGAATAGCCGAGATCTTAATCTAGTAGGGAAGGTATGGCATGAAATCAAAAAATATTTGGAAAATCATCACAACGCAAAGCAAAATTTATGAATCTTCGCCCTTCTAGCCAGAATGCTAAGAGTTCAAATTTTTCTTCTAAACTATAGAAATAAAGTATGCACAAAGCAGTGCGTTGGAATAAATAAGTTTGGTACAATTCCGAAAGAAATTGCTCTATATTTAGGTCTACCCAACGCAGGCGAGTACACTGGACATTGTTTCAGGCGGTCGTCAACCACTATTCTTGCAGACGCGTCTAATAACACTGAAACATCATGGTAGTACGTCAGTTCGGCAATTGAAAGAAAAACGTTTCTTTCTAACAAAAAACTGGAGCAACATAGTGTCAAAGAACCATGTAACTGCAAAAAAGCTTGCATGAAAAATTTTACACTCGAAATAAGAAACAAAATCAATGAAAAGTATTGAAAAATGAACTTCGTCGAACGAAAAAGGTTTATAGCATATCACACACAAGTTTCAGAAATTAAGAGAAGATGTAAAGGGAACGAAGAAAATGAAAAACATCTAAAAAACCGTAATAGGACTTATTACTTACAAGGGAATGAACAAGTGCGCTATAATGTCTGCTAGCATTTTTTTTACGACCTTGGGTTTATAAAGCCACTAATTACTCCGTTTAGAAAACAAATCGAAGTCCACAAAAAGATCTTCGTGATTCATACAAGAGGCAACCAAAAATTGATAAAAACATCATCAAAGAACACATTATGTTATTTTCGCCTACAGTATCCCATTACAGAAGAGAGCATGCTCCCAATCGTCTTTATTTATCTAGTGAACTTACTATCACAGATATGCATAACGACTTTCTAAAGAAAAATCCAAACATGAAAATGTCGTACGATTCTTATAGGCAAGTAGTAAGTAAGGGGCTAATTCTGAGTCTGGGACGCAAATCATGGACACAGCGCAACTTTGCACCTCTTATTTGCGCCCTCGTTGCGCCCCGAGTTGCGTCGGTATTCAAAGTACAGAAATTGCACCCGCGCAAGGTAGGCGCAACAGTGGAACGTTAGCCACAGCATTTCACTCTGATTGGATGTGGTTTTTCTGTCAAACGTCAATTTAACCGTCAACTCGGCAGTGCGCAAGTGTCCATTACATCGAATATTTGAAAAATATTAAAACATGGCAACTAAATCGTAAGTAATTTATGTTTTTATTTCACGCACAAGTTTTAAAAAATAATTGGTACATACGTATATTAAAATTAATCACAAAATCCCTAATTTTAGCAATAAAGCAAGAGGTAAAAATTTTACAAGTGCAGAGGTGCTAACATTGGTGGACGCGATTGAGGCTCGCAGAAGGCTTTTATTTGGGCCCTTACAAGGTCCCACTTTAACACAGTACCATCGCGACAGGGCTTGGGACAAAGTTGTGGAGGCTGTAAATTCAGTGTCCCCAGTGATCCGCACAGTGGGGGAGATAAGAAAAAAATTTAAAGACCTCAAAGCAAGAACCAAGCAAAAAGCAAACGCGTTTAAAAGAGGCACAAAAAAACTGGCGGAGGCGACAATGATGAGAGTCCTCTCAACGAAATGGAACAAAAAATAATTTCGTTTATTGGAACAGAAAGTATCGAGAGGATTGTGGGAGGAATTGATACATTCCGGACAACAGGTACGTATATTTGATATTATAATGTTTTTCCTTAATTTATTATCAACTGAAAGCAAAAAAAAATGCTTCATTCAAATATTTACAGGTATACTTATTAATACAAAGGTTAATAAAGATCAATTGTTACTGAATTGATTGTATCATTTTTATTCTTTTTTTTTTAAGCTGTTAAACCAACTCCGTTTCTGATCCCTCCGCCAGACCCTGAAATCTTGTTAATCCCAATTGAAGGTATGTAGAGTTTATAGAATATTTTTATTTATAAATTAATAACAAGATAATTTCAACATCAATACTGTGCTTAATATATAGGTACATATCATATTTAAATAATTATAATTTATCATTGTCACTTGTTCATAGAGTGTAATATGGATTCTGCTGTACCTAGCCCGACTTCCTCCAGTCAACCTGCTCCCAGAACTTCAGTGTCGCCCATTCATTTCATGCCAGCTCCACAAATTTGCCAAACCCAAACTGCACCATCAACCCTAATACCTGCAACTATTCCTCCAGCTAAGATTCCAAAAAGAAAATCCAAAACTCAAGTGTTGGATGAAATTAAAAAAACAACAAATCTGCAAACACAGCAGAATCTCTTATTATCAGAAATTGTTACTGAATTTAAAAGTTTTAAAACTGAGGTCATCCAAGAAATAAGAGATTTAAAAGAACAAATTGTAGCTCTAAAAAAAAGAAAATTGGAAATTTTAGAGGAAAATCTTCAATTAAAAAAAAACTAAAAGTTCAAAATTAAGAAAATATTCCAATTACATTTTTTATTGTTGACTATTGTTATTGATATTAAATTAAATTATTTTAAAAATTAAGTTGTATGTTTCTTGCCCATTTTGTTACTCTCCACAACTGAAATTTTGAAATTAATCTTTGGAGAAAAAAAGCAATCCAAAACGTGCTACTGATAACATTATTAATAACTAGCTAGAAAAGGTAACTAGGGATTAAATTTATTAGTGTGGAACATTCAGTTACGGAAGTATCTAGTGAGACCACGTAGAGGCTGACAAATTCCCACCAGGTTAAGGAAGGGATTAGGGTATTGTTAATTGAAAATAAGACGGTTAGTAGAAGTAAATTTAAGTTTGCAAAGGATACAAATTAATACCTACGGAAAAAGAAAGGCTACAGGTCACTATTGTAATTAAACAAAGATATATGTCCATATCAGGTAAAATGTTGTAATCAGGTAAATGTCATAATCAGGTCAAATATCGCAATCAGGTAAAATATCGTGCAATCAGGTGTCTTTTAATTTGGTCATAATTGGGATTTTGGGGCTCTTGACATGGAAATTCGTCATTCAGTGGATGTTCTTGAAAATCTTCTACATCCAGGTTATGTTCAGTGCAAATATTGTGAAGAACACAACAAGCAGTTGTTATGCGACACACTTTCCTTGGAGAGTATTTAAGAGGACAATCTAAAACATGCCACCTACTTTTTAGAACTCCATTTGTCCTCTCCACTGGATTTCGAGTGGAAATATGGACAGAATTATATAATAATTCTGGAGGAGTGTTCACATGGCCCACAGGAGTCATCAGCCAAGGCTCTTGTGGATATCCAGAATCCCCAACGAGCCAACCTTCTGGAAAATTGCCTTCAGTTAAGGCTTCTCGAAGAGCAGAATTTCTCCACACATACGAATCATGATTAGAACCTGGAAATTGTGCAAAGCTGTTAAAAATTTTTAAATCAGGTCCTACAACAAGCTGTACAATGATCGAATGGTAAATATGACGATTCACGTATTGTTCTGGGGCAGTTGTTGGTGTTTGAATGCGTACGTGAGTACAGTCAATTGCACCCAAAACGTTCGGAAATCCACGTCCGTGTTTCGTCTGTCCTATCTGGTAAAAGACTTGTTTCACTGCCAGGTACTCTTCAGCGTTAGGAAAACGTATGAACTGTGGAGCAAGGGCCACGATCGCTTCAGTAACCTCCCCAATGAGACGAGACGCTGAACGTTGTGAAACGCGGCCACTGCTTCCTACCAGCCACTGAAATGAACCTGTAGCATAAAACTGAAGTGCTACATACAGCTTCTGCATCGGTGTTAGATGCAGGTAACGTCCGCTTCGAGTGTTTTTAGTCAAAGCCGGTGAAATCAAACCTAAAACATATTCAAACACAATTCTGTTCAACCGTGTATGTTGAAATAGAATCCTCTCGGAAATATGCCGAATATGAAAGGCGTTCCTTGGTATGCGTTGTTCACCATCATCACTAATATCACTATCACTACCACTACTATTTTCGAACAAATCGAAATCCAAAGCCGCTAAACCCTGTCTTGCAGCCGCCGCCATGTTCGAAACATAAAATGACATATGAAGTTGCGCCGGTAAATCTGAGATGCACCGCCGCTATTAGGTGGCGCAAATCACGGGTGCAACTAGACCGCGAAATTTGACTTGGAATTAGGCGCAAACTGTTTTGCACCGTTGCCATAGCGACGTCGATTTGCGCCGGGTGCAAGTCTGACTTGGAATTGGCCCCTAACGGGCCAATTCCAAGTTGGTGGCGCAAGTCACTGGTGCAGCGCAACTTTATAATGCTAATTTGGGTATCAAATGCTGGTTGCTAGGGGTGACGGAATAAACAAGCGCAATTTTTCGAATTTTCCATTGAAATTTGCACCATAGAGTTGCGGCACCTCTAGTAGGCAGTGCAAGTTGGCGCAATTTATCTCGAAAAATTGCGCTTGTTTATTCCGTCACCCCTAGCAACCAGCATTTGATACCCAAATTAGCATTATAAAGTTGCGCTGCACCAGTGACTTGCGCCACCAACTTGGAATTGGCCCCTAAGTCTGTATGCTACCGTACTTTCCAAATCGCTTTTCATTTTATTTAACGTTTTTTCCTTCTTGTTCTTTATAATGGGTGTTTTGCCCTTATTTAAAAGTATGGGGTTAGTTTTCACAAATTTTGCAACATAGGTCAGGTCAATATCTGCATTTTGTTTCCCATTAGAAGCGGTGTCAAAAAGACTACCTCCATCACTCAGTTCTTCGCTACTTGAGGACATCTTTAATTATCACACAAGAATAACTACTTTTAGTAATTTCAGCCACCGAAATGCAATAATTATTTGATACTTGATGTGCGCGTACTTGATTTGCATATTTTTTCCATAAGTATAAACTTATCAATTTAAGTATTTACTTATAAGTATTAGCATCACATTATAAATACAGAAATGAGGGACATGGAATCATGGGCAGTCTGTTCTTCTTCTATCAATGTAAATGCACCTTTACCGTCATTATGATTGATATTTTCAAAAACTCTATCAAGTTAAATGTGGGATGTATCGATTTGTTCAACATGCCAACTATATCAATGTTCACAGATATTTGTGAAATGGATGATGACAGTGAAAACGATGAAAATAGGATGGAAAATTGCAGACATCCTGAAATAACAGAAATAGCCAAGACTGTTACTTTGGCTGATATGCATAAAAATTAGTAAATACTTAATACTGAAAATTTTAAGTATGTACTAGTGTTTATATGCATAAAAATTAGTTTAAACTAAAAAGTATATACTACATGCTAGCTAGGTTAAAATTTTTCCAGCATTTACTAAATTTTCCAGTAAATACTCAGATCAATATGCATAATAAATAGTATCTACTTGATTTCACAAGTTAAAACTTAATTTTTTTCAAGCTGCTATATGAGATGCTTGAAAACAATTTTGGGTGACTTTGGTGTTCTATTTTTGGAAAATTCTGACCTGACCTGTTTTTGAGTAAATTTTGGAAGCCTGTTTTTTTTTTCAAAAATTTAAAACAATCTTGAAGTTCTAGGTATTCCTGTTTAGAAAGAATTTGAAAATGCTTTGGAGCCCCTAGTGTCTTTTCTTATAATAATTTAATTAAATATCTTAGAGAATACGTCATTTGTGAAAAGCAATCTTATCTTAACAGGTACTAGCCCCACCTACTCGGCCTCTCTTTTCTTAGAAGGTATCTCATTTGGCAAAGTCAATTTTATTTTAGCAGGTATTTGTACCGCCCACCCTCTCTCTCTTTTCTTAGAGGGTATCACATTTGCCAAAATCACTCTTATCTTAGCAGGTACCAGCCCCGCCATGTGCCAAAATCGATCTTATTTTAACAGTTACTGTTTTATTTGTTCTAAGAGAAATTAAATCAAATTATCATGAGTCGTGGATTGATTGACGTGAATAAAGTTCAAAATGGCTCAATTCATGCTGCCCATTCGGCGACGAAAAATTTATAAGGCTAGAAGGCAAGCTGGTGCTTCTACTTATAAAGCTATGTACCGATTTGAAGAAGACAACGTAGAGTACCTAGCCGACGTGTTTTTGGGCGAAAACTATGAACGAAGGGGAGGTGCTTTAACACCAAAACAAAAAATACAAATATTTTTAAGGTATGTCGGTGATCCTGGTTTTCAAGTTGGTGTTGGTGAGGACAGTGGTACCCATCAAAGTTCAGTCTCCAGAAACGTAAAATTTGTTAGTGAAAAAATCTACGAAAAGGTAAATCAGTGGATTCAATTTCCGGCAGAACAGGCTGAAATCGACGCAGCTAGACACCAATGGCAAGAAGCATTTAATTTTCCTTTTGTTATTGGCGCTCTAGATTGCACTCAGATTAAAATTAAAAAACCTTTAGAACATGGAGATGAATACATATGCAGGAAGCAGTTTGCTTCAATAAACGTACAAGCTACATGTAATAGCAGAGAATGGTTTACAAGTGTTGATGCCACGTGGCCAGGTTCTGTGCATGACAGTAGAATTTGGAGAAATTCTTCAGTATTACCCATTATTTCGAGATATCAAGGACAGGCCATCCTCTTAGGTGACTCGGGTTATGCTGTTGCTCCTTGGTTGATAACTCCCTACAGAAACCCAAGAAACCAGGTTGAAATACACTTTAATAACATGCACAAAAGAAACAGAGTGATTATCGAAAGATGTTTCGGTCAAGTGAAAAAACGATTTCCAATTTTGATGAATGATATTAGGGTTCGTTTGTCTAGAATACCAAAATTGATAGTTTCTTGTTTTGTTCTGCATAACGTTTCTAAATTTGTAAATGATGTAAACGACTTTCCTGATATTCCTCTTGAAGAAGATGATGAAATTGTAGAACACGAAAACCACAATCCAATTCAAGGAATTCAACGCAGAAATGAATTGGCTCAAATTTTGTATGCCCAAAGATAAAGAACATTTTTTTTACTAACATATTTATTTTAATAAAACAGAAACAACAGAAAAAACTCTTCTAACGACGTACAAAATTATTCCCTTTCTCTTTTATTTTCAATTTCTTTTTGTTGCATTTTTATTAATTTTAACTGTTCCAATAACACTAGCCTTTGCAACTCGCTAAGCGATAGAACTCTAGTTTCATCCGTTTCTGCTGCTAGTTCTGTAGATGTACACTTTCTTTTGGGTGGCAATGGCAAAGTAGTTATATGGGCGGAATTCAATTCTACTGCCTCCACTTCTTTCGAAGTTCCGGCAGCTGCAGCACCTGATAACAGTATTGCTATAAATTTTTGCACACATCATCGAAGTAATAACGTCATTAAAACGTTAACATACCTGGAATTCGATAAATCGTGGGATTTTTTTCATTAGTGCCATTTATTAATTTCAATAAGGTTTCCTCCCAGGATTTCAGCACGTTTTTTTCATTTCCGGTCCTATTCATATCTGATTTCTTCTTTAGTTCCGTCTTCATATTGTTAATTTTTTTTAATATTTTTTCGTTAGTGAGTTGTTCCCCACAATTATTTAGGTAAGCATTTGAAAATTCTTTTAAAGCTTCCTTCTTTTGTACTCTTTTCGCTGGAGTTTGCGACTTACTTAATAAAATCGGCCACTTTTTAAGCAATGAAACAAATTGTTCTTGCTTATTACTCTTTTCGGCAGATTCTATAATTTCTGATTCAGATTCAGAAGAACTCATTTTAATAGAATAGGGGGATTTATGTAGGTCTCACTTACAAAATACGCACACACGGCTTTAATGTCGGGAAGATTTTGTCATCATTGAGTGACACCGCCTATTTTTTTTTTATTCTAAGTATTTACTGGAAAATTTAAAGTATTTACTTAATAGTATAAGTATAAGTTTATGCATACGAATTTTAGTAAGAACTTCTACTTTTAGTATTTACTATTGAGCATTTGCTTTTACTTAAAGTTTTTACTTTTTAGTAAATACTTAATTTTATGCATATCAAATGAAATTAAAAAAAAAACAAATCTGCAAACACAGCAGAATCTCTTATTATCAGAAATTGTTACTGAATTTAAAAGTTTTAAAACTGAGGTCATCCAAAAAATAAGAGATTTAAAAGAACAAATTGTAGCTCTAAAAAAAAGAAAATTGGAAATTTTAGAGGAAAATCTTCAATTAAAAAAAAACTAAAAGTTCAAAATTAAGAAAATATTCCAATTACATTTTTTATTGTTGACTATTGTTATTGATATTAAATTAAATTATTTTAAAAATTAAGTTGTATGTTTCTTGCCCATTTTGTTACTCTCCACAACTGAAATTTTGAAATTAATCTTTGGAGAAAAAAAGCAATCCAAAACGTGCTACTGATAACATTATTAATAACTAGCTAGAAAAGGTAACTAGGGATTAAATTTATTAGTGTGGAACATTCAGTTACGGAAGTATCTAGTGAGACCACGTAGAGGCTGACAAATTCCCACCAGGTTAAGGAAGGGATTAGGGTATTGTTAATTGAAAATAAGACGGTTAGTAGAAGTAAATTTAAGTTTGCAAAGGATACAAATTAATACCTACGGAAAAAGAAAGGCTACAGGTCACTATTGTAATTAAACAAAGATATATGTCCATATCAGGTAAAATGTTGTAATCAGGTAAATGTCATAATCAGGTCAAATATCGCAATCAGGTAAAATATCGTGCAATCAGGTGTCTTTTAATTTGGTCATAATTGGGATTTTGGGGCTCTTGACATGGAAATTCGTCATTCAGTGGATGTTCTTGAAAATCTTCTACATCCAGGTTATGTTCAGTGCAAATATTGTGAAGAACACAACAAGCAGTTGTTATGCGACACACTTTCCTTGGAGAGTATTTAAGAGGACAATCTAAAACATGCCACCTACTTTTTAGAACTCCATTTGTCCTCTCCACTGGATTTCGAGTGGAAATATGGACAGAATTATATAATAATTCTGGAGGAGTGTTCACATGGCCCACAGGAGTCATCAGCCAAGGCTCTTGTGGATATCCAGAATCCCCAACGAGCCAACCTTCTGGAAAATTGCCTTCAGTTAAGGCTTCTCGAAGAGCAGAATTTCTCCACACATACGAATCATGATTAGAACCTGGAAATTGTGCAAAGCTGTTAAAAATTTTTAAATCAGGTCCTACAACAAGCTGTACAATGATCGAATGGTAAATATGACGATTCACGTATTGTTCTGGGGCAGTTGTTGGTGTTTGAATGCGTACGTGAGTACAGTCAATTGCACCCAAAACGTTCGGAAATCCACGTCCGTGTTTCGTCTGTCCTATCTGGTAAAAGACTTGTTTCACTGCCAGGTACTCTTCAGCGTTAGGAAAACGTATGAACTGTGGAGCAAGGGCCACGATCGCTTCAGTAACCTCCCCAATGAGACGAGACGCTGAACGTTGTGAAACGCGGCCACTGCTTCCTACCAGCCACTGAAATGAACCTGTAGCATAAAACTGAAGTGCTACATACAGCTTCTGCATCGGTGTTAGATGCAGGTAACGTCCGCTTCGAGTGTTTTTAGTCAAAGCCGGTGAAATCAAACCTAAAACATATTCAAACACAATTCTGTTCAACCGTGTATGTTGAAATAGAATCCTCTCGGAAATATGCCGAATATGAAAGGCGTTCCTTGGTATGCGTTGTTCACCATCATCACTAATATCACTATCACTACCACTACTATTTTCGAACAAATCGAAATCCAAAGCCGCTAAACCCTGTCTTGCAGCCGCCGCCATGTTCGAAACATAAAATGACATATGAAGTTGCGCCGGTAAATCTGAGATGCACCGCCGCTATTAGGTGGCGCAAATCACGGGTGCAACTAGACCGCGAAATTTGACTTGGAATTAGGCGCAAACTGTTTTGCACCGTTGCCATAGCGACGTCGATTTGCGCCGGGTGCAAGTCTGACTTGGAATTGGCCCCTAACGGGCCAATTCCAAGTTGGTGGCGCAAGTCACTGGTGCAGCGCAACTTTATAATGCTAATTTGGGTATCAAATGCTGGTTGCTAGGGGTGACGGAATAAACAAGCGCAATTTTTCGAATTTTCCATTGAAATTTGCACCATAGAGTTGCGGCACCTCTAGTAGGCAGTGCAAGTTGGCGCAATTTATCTCGAAAAATTGCGCTTGTTTATTCCGTCACCCCTAGCAACCAGCATTTGATACCCAAATTAGCATTATAAAGTTGCGCTGCACCAGTGACTTGCGCCACCAACTTGGAATTGGCCCCTAAGTCTGTATGCTACCGTACTTTCCAAATCGCTTTTCATTTTATTTAACGTTTTTTCCTTCTTGTTCTTTATAATGGGTGTTTTGCCCTTATTTAAAAGTATGGGGTTAGTTTTCACAAATTTTGCAACATAGGTCAGGTCAATATCTGCATTTTGTTTCCCATTAGAAGCGGTGTCAAAAAGACTACCTCCATCACTCAGTTCTTCGCTACTTGAGGACATCTTTAATTATCACACAAGAATAACTACTTTTAGTAATTTCAGCCACCGAAATGCAATAATTATTTGATACTTGATGTGCGCGTACTTGATTTGCATATTTTTTCCATAAGTATAAACTTATCAATTTAAGTATTTACTTACAAGTATTAGCATCACATTATAAATACAGAAATGAGGGACATGGAATCATGGGCAGTCTGTTCTTCTTCTATCAATGTAAATGCACCTTTACCGTCATTATGATTGATATTTTCAAAAACTCTATCAAGTTAAATGTGGGATGTATCGATTTGTTCAACATGCCAACTATATCAATGTTCACAGATATTTGTGAAATGGATGATGACAGTGAAAACGATGAAAATAGGATGGAAAATTGCAGACATCCTGAAATAACAGAAATAGCCAAGACTGTTACATTAAATATACCCCTTTGAAATAAAAAAAAAGGTATGAAACAGCTTATAACTCCATAGAGCCATAGAAGCGTCGACATATGTAAATTACTGTAATATGGGTTGTGCAAATTATCTAGTGTTTGTTAGCCTCACTCCAACCAGGGTAGGTGAGTCGACACATTCGTGCGGTACTAGTAGCTAAGGTGCCAAAGTCTGGTTTAGAAATTTTGGCAATTGGATACCACCTTTGCCCGGTTTTCCATGTGCCCGCTAGTACAGTTAAGTGCAAAATTGAAAGAACGACTAAAGCGTTGCAAATTAAAGCGAGCTCCCTCCTGGCTGTCATAATTGACAAGAATAATTTAATTTGTGAAAATTTGATCAAACCGTTTCAATAGTTGTATCAAAAATGAAGGTTAATTTGAATCCATATGACAAAAAATGGTCGTCGATTTGAGCAGCTAAAAATTGCAATTTTCCATTATAAGCGTCGTTCTTTCAATTTTGCAGTGAACTGTAACATTGAGGGTTAAGACTAACAATAAGGTCACTAAAAATAATGAATACAACATATTTTTTAGCTTTATATCAGCCAGCTATCATTACTGGTGTCCCCAGAAAAGGAAAAGCTAAATCATGATTTATCGTCTTTTGTGATCTTTCTCAATCTTCTACGTTTGTTACAAACAATAACAAACAAAATCAATGTGCCAAAAAATTATAAAAATGAAGTTCGTTAGGTTTTTCTTAGATACAAATCAGAAGTCCTAAATGTTCCTCAAGCGTCTTTGAACACTGTGTAAGACAGAGCACAGAAAAAGAAAAAGTCTATATAAAAATATTTAGGATACGACAGCCCTTCAACAATGACGAACTGAATTTTTTACGCCCCTGTTTAAAAGCTAAAAAGCAAAAAATATTATCGAAGTAAGCTTCTTTCATTATGCAAAATGACACTTATCACAAATGATTCCTTTGAATTTGTAACGTTGCAGTTGCTGTGGATGTCATAAAAATTTGTCAAAAGTGACAGTTCGATAATTTAACTTCCATCGTGTCTTTTATTGCTTATAATATTAGCGATTCGGCGAGTGATTTCGAAAGTACTCCGCCGCAAATTGTTGACCAACCATTGGACGCCGTCAAACACCTTCTGTCCAAAAAATCGAAGGGGAAGTACGAAATGGTTTATGAAAAATTTATGAGTCCACTCTTTTTTGAGAATGTGTTTCTCGCGTATTTTGATAATTTCAAAGAGAAGTCATCTCTTTGGGCGTTTTATTCACTGCTAAGGTCAACCATAAACATCAAGGATAATGTGAATATTGAGAACTACCCGAAATTGCGTGCTTTCTTGAAAAGACTGTCAGATGGCTTCAGTAGTAAGTTTTATTTCTTATAACACGATTTGTAATTGTTTTTGTTGTAGTTTTTAGGTAACTGTAAATTGTGTTTATTGAACATACAAGCTTTTCGCCCACGGCTTCGCTCGCGTAGATGATTCGTTGTGTTGAAGAGCATTATTATCTACCTTGAAGTAAAAAATGTGTTGAAGGACATTAATACAATTTCCAGTAAAAATCGACATAAAAAATGTTTGCTCATAAAAACTTTGTCACCCCCATTCATCTTCTTAAGGGTGGAATCTCGAAACAATCTGAAATACGTGTTTCATTATTTGTATTTAAAAGCACTAATTCCAAGTTTCTTGTGAAAATTTAAACTTACAGTAGAAATATTTTCCCATACAAACTTCGCCACCACTTTTCACCTCCTTAGGGGTTGAATCTCGGATAAATGTTTAAATACGTGCTTCATTATTTGTATTGAAGAGTATTAATACCAAGTCTCAGGTACAAATTTAAATTTACAATAGAAATACTTTTCAGATACAAACTTAACCAGTACTTTTCACCCCCTTAGGGGTTGAATCTCGGAAAATGCTTAAATACTATATGCTTAATACTAAATTCCATGTCAAGAATTTACATCAGAAATAATTTTCCGATATCAAGTTAGCCACCACTCTTCACCCCCTTAAGAGGATGAATCTCGGAAAATGCTTAAATACATGTTTCATTATTTGTGTTTAAAAGCATTAATACCAAGTTTCACGTGAAAATTTAAATTTACAATACAAATATTGTTCCCACACAAAGCTAGCCAGTACTTTTCACCCCCTTAGGGGCTGAAGCTCGGAAAATGCTTAAATACATATTTCATTATATGTGTTGGAGACAATTAATATCAAGTTTCACGTAAAAATATTCCCACACAAATCTAGCCACCACATTTCACTCCCTTAGGGATTGAATTTAGAGAAATGCTTAATGCTCTTCAGCACAGATAATAAAACACGTATTTAACCTCGTACGTACAAGTACGGAAGCAGAGTGAGTTTGTGAATCCAGGAACGTAAAGACTGTGCACGAAAAAAATTGGCCACATAAAAATAATAATAATTCCCATAAAACTAGGGTATAATCGAGTAGGCATTGGTCGAGAGTTTACTTAGGTTCAGTTGTTTATATGAAATGTCATTGCAATAAGATCTGCCAGATAATAGTGAATATGGAATCCAAACAATACGCTCTCCGAAAAAGAATCTTGCACATATATACCGAAGATTCTACGGCATCGTATCGGACTATCGGCCGACGTCTGGGTATTGGAAAATCAACTGTGGCAAATGTCATAAACAATTTTATTAGACGTTTATCTATAGAACGCAAACCAGGAACGGGCAGAAAAACGGGTCCTATTTGCAAGAAAACAGAAGCAAAAGTGGTTGCCATCTTCAAGAAAAATCCCAACATATCGGTGAGAGATGTAGCAAAAAAAGTCGGAAAATCATCTTCTTTTGTGCAGAAGGTAAAAAAGCGAAAAGGGCTGAGAACATTTAAAGTTCGGAAAGCCCCTAACAGAACTGACAAGCAAGACTGTACTGCAAAAACCAGAGCACGCAAGTTGTATGACGCTATTCTCACAAAATTTGAATGTGTGATTATGGACGATGAGACCTTTGTGAAAATTGACTTCAAGCAGCTTCCGGGACAAATTTTTTTTACGTGCATTAATAAATTTGATGTTGATAAGAATTTTAAACAACAAAAGATGTCAAAATTTGCCGGTAAATTTTTGGTTTGGCAAGCCATCTGCACATGTGGCAAAACCAGCAAGACTTTCGTCACTAAAGGAAGTGCAAACCAAGAAATTTACCTGGAAGAATGCGTCAAAAAAAGATTGATGCCACTTATCAGGTCACACAACACTCCTCCTTTGTTTTGGCCCGATTTGGCCACATGTTATTACGCCAGAACTGTTCTTGAATGGTACCAGAGAAATGGAATAAATTTCGTCCCGAAAGACAAAAACCCACCTGACTGTCCTGAACTAAGACCAATAGAAAAGTATTGGGCGCTTGTGAAACAGAAGTTAAAAAAAAGCCAAAAACAACCCACAAGCTTATCCGACTTCGAAAAAGAGTTCAATAAAGCGTCTGCCGCTCTTGGCTCGACTGCTGTATGTAACTTGATGAGAAGCGTCAGAAGTAAAGTGAGAAAGTTCGGATATGGATTAAAATAATTTATATGATAGCATTAGCATGTTATAAAGAATTGTTTATGTTAATTGTTGACGATAGTGTTGATAAGATAATATTAAGTATTTTCTGGTTATTGATTTTTTATGTGGCCAATTTTTCCGCGCACAGTCTTTATATATACGCGAAACGCACACCGTTTACGCTTTTTTAAAACGTATATATACGAGTATAGCAGCGAAAGGGTTAATACCAAGTTTTAATTAAACATCACCATACAAATATTTTTCTCATACAAACTTAGTCACACCCTTTTTTACCCCCTTAGGGGTTGAATTAATACCGCTGCAGCAATTTTGGATCTTCTACCCACCAAATCGAAAGAAATGTATGAGAAGACAGTCACGCATTCCGTGAATGGTGCACCAAGACGAAGGTATTAAAA